GTATCAGTATTGTTGGTATCAGTATCAATATTGGTATCAGTATAAATATTGGTATCAGTATAAATATTGGTATCAGTATAAATGTTGGTATTAGTATCAATATTGGTATCAGTATCAGTATTGGTATCAGTATAAATATTGGTATCAGTATAAATGTTGGTATTAGTATCAATATTGGTATCAGTATAAATATTGGTATTATATAAATGTTGGTATCAGTATAAATATTGGCATTAGTATCAGTAGTGGCATCAGTATTGTTGGTATCAGTATCAATATTGGTATCAGTATCAGTATTGGTATCAGTATAAATATTGGTATCAGTATAAATGTTGGTATTAGTATCAATATTGGTATCAGTATCAATATTGGTATCAGTATTGGTATCAGTATTGGTATCAGTATCAGTATTGGTATCAGTATTGGTATCAGTATCAGTATTGGTATCAGTATTGGTATCAGTATCGATATTGGTATCAGTGTCAATATTGGTATCAGTATTGGTATCAGTATCAGTATTGGTATCAGTATTGGTATCAGTATCGATATTGGTATCAGTATCAGTATTGTTGGTATCAGTATCAGTATTGGTATCAGTATCAATATTGGTATCAGTATCAGTATTGGTATCAGATCAATTTCAAAATTCCCAGTCTCACCCACCTTTAGCTAAAGTTAAAATCTGGACTCATAAAGCTCCAGAAATGTTTGCTAATAGCCTAAAGCAAACATGAACGTTACAAGTTTGKTTTGTGGATCAGAAGCTGAAACYGAAAGAATAAAAAAGATCTGTGAGCATTAAGTAATTAAGTTCAGTGAATTAGGTCGAGCTAAAATCCAAAGACCTTTTTGTTTTCTGCCTTTTAGCCTTTTGGTTTAAGTTGATGCAACAGTTTTGTCTAAACATATTTTCCAATATTTTGATCCTTTGAATTTTTGCTTTTTTCCCCATTTGAAACAACCAGAGAACAACCTGCTTCTAAACTCACATTAAACAAAAAGACACAATAAACTGCTCAAATAAACCATGTTGTCTGTCACCTRCAGGCTCTGTAAACCAGAACACATTTTTACATTACCTTTAATTTGCACAGAAGGACTGGATGCCAACAATTGATTTACAAACAAAAWATGATCTTTTTTTCTTAATAAGAATGGTTTGTAAAAGTAGGGTGAAAGGCTTTTTACAGCTTTTTGTTAGAAAAAATAATTGACACTTCAAAAAAAAACACACTGCTTTGCATTCCAGCTCCTGAGCAATTACTCTGCTCCCAGGTCCACTTTTTCATGCAGGTCTGCTGGCAGCCGAAGCACTCCAATTCACATTAAACACAGTTTTATGCTTAATAAAAGCTGAACGTATTSAAGCAATCACCATACAAAGTTCTGCAGGGTTTTTTTCTGGAATAAATTAGAACTGCAGGTACCAGCRTTAGTCGCAACACAAATGGACTGATAATTGAGAACAAAATACACGAGAGCAAAAAAAAGAAAAAAAAAGGCAGCAGTATTTTCATGCAGCTCACGCGGCTGGTCGTGTAGAATAACACCGCTCTGTGTCAGCTCACTCACACCCCTTTTAGTGGACGAGAGGGGTAACCGTGAACCCTCATGGGAGAGGAGCTCTTGGTAGCATTCAGAGGGTTTTGGGTTTTTTTTTACATTGGAATAAAAAAGGCTTTTGAAAACAAAGGAGAGAAAAGGAGGCGTGCAGAGAGAGTCAGCGGGGGGAATCTGATAATGAAAACCCACTAAGAGAGCAGACAGCAGGGAAATCASCGGAGAGAAGCCTCCGCTCTGGAATCAAATATCACGGACGCTGAAGTCTGCGCGTCCACTCGACGTGTTTGCTGCAAACCTCACTGACCTGCAAAGACTCACAAAAACAAATGAGAAATAAAATCGAGGGAAACCTCCAGAGGGAACAACAGCTCGACTGGAAACACTTGTTGAGATGAGCTCACGGGTTTTATTGTCTTCTTCCTGCATCAATAAAAATTACGTTTGACTTGTTGCATCTTAAAGATTTGATAAAAAGTCTGRAACTGGACCACAACATGGAGAATCTGAGCAGCTTTTCATTTTGAGTCCTGCTTTAACTGAAAACAGTAAAAAAAAAAGGGCAAAGCAAAGGTTTACTAATATATTCAGACGATTGAAGGAAACGTTCGCTTTGTAACTACAGGACTTGGATCACGGTTCTCTGCAGGAGAGAGAGAGAAAAAAAGATTGCCTCATTGAATTGCTGCTGGTGAATGAGGTTAATTGTCCAGCAGGTCCATTCAGAAAGCATGAGCCTAATCGGAGGATCAAATACACGTCTTTAAAGAAGCATTTAGATCAAGAATAAGTCTGATTTATAAAGCACCTGTTTTATCATCCTCCTCTTCAGCAGTCTCATATAAAGTGCCTCTAAGTGATACTTGAAGTACAAGTATTTTACCATAAAATTCACTTTGGTTAAAAGTTAGTCTTCTCTGAGAATACTACTTGAGTAAAAGTATTAAAGCATATAACATTTACTGTACTTGAGTATCAAAATTTCCTATAATTTACTTAAAAGAAAAAGTACTGAGTAAAAGAGAAGAGTGTTCAAAATGACATTTACTGGGAGATGACATTTTTCTAAAAGCCATAATGACTGTAATGTTATATTCAAATGTTAAAGGTGATATGATTCCTGTTTTGACAGCACAAATAATAATAAATCTGCCCAGTCGTCTKCATGCAGGCTACATRCAGGGGTTAGACAATGAAACTAAAACACCTGTCATTTTAGTGTGGGAGGTTTCATGGCTAAACTGGACCAGCCTGGTGGCCAGTCTTCATTAATTGCACRTTGCACCAGTAAGAGCAGAGYGTGAAGGTTCAATTAGCAGGGTAAGAGCACAGTTTGTCTCAAAATATTGCAATGCACACAACATTATGGGCGACATACCAGCGTTCAAAAGAGGACAAATTGTTGGTGCACATCTTGCTGGAGCATCTGTGACCAAGACAGCAAGTCTTTGTGATGTATCAAGAGCCACAGTATCCAGGGTAATGTCAGCATACCACCAAGAAGGACGAACCACATCCAACAGGATTAACTGTGGACGCAAGAGGAAGCTGTCTGAAAGGGATGTTGTGGTCTAAAACCAGSTGTTTCAGTTTCATTGTCTAACCCCTGCACGTCTGCTGGAGTGTGACATGATTTGTGTCATGTGTGATGGATCGTACAAACCAACAGGGGGTCCGAACTGTAAATATTTACACTTCTCATCCAACCACAATCAAATCAAATCAGGCACATGTCAAGTTGTACGGACTTGTGTGTAATTTACACAGATTTCCCCTAATTTTGCAGGAATACGGACGTAAAGCACAATCTGTACGGATTTTTTCAAAAACTCAGTTTCAAACTTATTAAACATGTCAGAGCCTGTAGGTTGTTAAAATAAACAATAAATAACATCAAACAACCCAGTCGT